TCATGTATTCATTCAATCTTTTCTTGAACTCAGTTACATTTTCTGCCTCCACCACCCTTGAAGGCAGCTCATTCCACAAGCCAACCACTTTGTTTGAAAACTAACACTGTCTATTTAGTCCATATACTACTCTATCTATATGCCTAATTAGAAAGTCACCTACAGCTATAATCCCTTGTGATCCCATGTGTTTTCCTTACCTGTTCCCCCTCATCACTAGCAAGTGCTTGGAACTGATTGCTTAACCTAAACCCAAGCCCATCCTTGCCCCTAAGTGCATTATTTTCCAAGCTGTTAGCCCTATTTCCTTTCTTAGCTCCCTTGAAATCCTGTTTTCCAACTGTACTCTTTGTGTGTAGAAGTTTAAGTTTTTCACTAAGCCTCACCACCACTTCGAGCAATTTATATTTCTCCCTTTCCACCTCTGCAACTCTACCTAAAAAATCCTTCAACTTCTCCTCTATTCTGCATACCCTGCAAATAAATTGTACATCTTGGGTACTAGCCTCCCTAAAACTAAAACTTAGTAAAAGTACACTTTAATCCAGAGTTTATAAATAAAACACTCTCCTGGTATCTATCACACTTTATCAACCAAGAACCCTTAGTATTACTATAGGCTATCAGATGATAAAGTGTGATAGATGCCTGGAGTAGCTAGATTATTCTTAACCATAATATATTGACTGTAATTGTAAGTGTAATGAAGTTAAGATTATATTTAATGTGCTATTACTAATATTACTATTAGTACGAAACTGTAACAAGTTTGATCTAACTTCAAGAAACATATAACTTAGTAATTTAAATGTTTAAAATTTCAATAGGGTGTATTTGTAAGAGATTTACAGCCACCTATGTTTTTGTTTTTGCCTTAGACCTCATAACATGACCATGCAATATACATACTTATTTTTAAACAAATATATTATCTTTACAGTCCCCCCCCCCCCTCTGAGCTTTTATTTTCAAAGTTCTGTTGCACAAGCTTATGAACAAAATAAGTTGCTCTTTGAATAAAAGTGAGAGTTGACCTCAAGATTCAAACTCAAATTTCCATAGGAAAACCAAGCATTCTGCGGTCAACTTCTTTCCACTTTAAAAATGAAATGACTGAGAAAACCCACATATCTTATCTACTCTGAAGTGAAGCTGATAGATAAGACTTTATCAAATAAATAATTATTATTTTTTACCTGGTTTCATGAACCTCTCTGTAATCTTCCCACCATACTTTTTCCAAGCGAGGCAAATTAAAGTTAAATTTATGCACAAAAACGTCAGAAGCGTTTTCAGTATATTCCACTGAAATTCGTCAATATCCGAAAAATTATCACTAATCCAAAGCTCAAGACCTTCCCGGGCTGATCCAAGTAAACTTCCTGTCAACCAAGTGATATTTTGTGGATCAGCATTAGTAGAATTTTCTGTTTTTTCGAGTTCAGACTGGTTGGCTGCGTCTACTGCTTGGCTCATTAAAACAGAATACAAAACGTGATGCAACAAGAACTTATAATAACGAGTCACTAGAATAAAAAAAATACATAAAAGCTAATTATATTTTGAAACATAACCTCATAACATGATTAAGCTAATTAATTACTGAATTTATATTTTTATTTCTGGAACATTTTTAAGATATGACTAAAGTACAAGTAATATAAATGTAACTTAAGTAATACACAAACTAACCTAACGACACTTTCCTGCTTATCAATAAACAAAGACGACCTCTAAGTGAGATTATGCTATGAGCAATAAAAAATAGTCAAAAATTAAATTGAATCAAAATTAATCAACAACCACTTCACAAACAAATTATTGTTATGGCATATCTTGTAAGTCGTAAAATAAATCGCTATTTATCTGTAATATAAGAAAGGACAATGCATGAAAACATATTAAAAAATATATATTTTCAGAGAGAGAGTATGAATAAAATCCCTTTTTGTTAGGTATGTATAAGCGCAAATTTGCATTATGGAAAAATATGTAGAGATACTAAAATGTGACATGTGGATGATGTGACAATTACATTTGTTACGCAGACTAAAATCCAAAAATAATATTAGTAAAATAAAAATGATGAGTGAGGATATTCCACAATATTTTGATTACAAATTCAATAACTATTCCAAATAAGTAAATAAAAGGGAGAGTGTATGTGTTTTTTTTTTCTTACAGCAAAGCCACATCGGGCTATCTGCTGTATCCACCGTGGCGAATCGAACTTCTGCTGTTAGGATTGTAAGTCCAAAGACTTACCGCTATCCCACCGAGGGAGAAAGGAAGAGTACCTCCTAATTCCTCATAACATGAATTTGCACAAGTACTTGTATCGTCCCTTATTACTCCACCAGTGAGCAGACACAGATACAGGGTAAATTTGATGCAAGCTTCCATAGGATAACCATTGTAGTATGTAACTTTACCTAAGCAAGATGATTACTGTATGATTACAATCTTCGTGCACCTAATTTACTGGAAAAACGTTAACTAATGCAGAACAATTAAATAAAAATTTAGAAAAATAACAGGAATATATCTGAATGAAGATATATTCTTCATTAGTTACAAAAGAGTAATATATTACGAATTAAATAAGAAAGCCAGGCAGTATTCATCATTGCCAGAAATATGAAATACTTTGTCCTAACTAACTGCTTAGGTACAAATAATAGAATTGACGTTCACTCTTATAATGCAGTCATAACTGAATTTGAAAGCGTATTTAATGGCATATGTTACAGTATGAGCATCGGACGTCTTGATCCAAAGTTTGACACACTAACCATGCTCAGCCTGAGCTACGAACAAATTCAGTTTAGTATTGCAGAGAATACCTACGTTAACAACACATTGTTTCATTACTTTACATATATACAGTGTATGTCAGTATTTATTGCCAGAAATTCTAGATGTAATATACGATACAAATTTCCTGTCCTTTGGTTACAATGACTCTTCTTCCAAGTGTATACTATCTTTGATAGTCAAATATCTGTTGCAATTATCCATTGCAGATTAACTAAACACATAACACTAAACGTTTGCAGCTTCAGATTTTCAACCATAACATGGGAATTTTTAGATATTCTGAAATAGCGAAACCATTTTTATACAATTACTATTGTTGTATATATATACAAATATTAATGTATAATGAAAACTCAGAAAATAAAAAAATCTATAATAAATTAATGAAAAGCTGTACCAAAATCGTTTGCGGAAGTTTTATTACAGTTTTTGCCACTGACTTTTGTGTTTATGGATTCTCACCCATTATAAGAAACTGTACTTTGCACCAGTTACTGTTAGCGTAATAAACTTCTACTGCCTAATGTAGTGTCATTCTTTCCTGCACAACAGAGTTCATAGTTTAGGCTTCCCTCCAAATAGCTTTCGTTAACTTAAAATAATTAGTTTTAGTACTAGCATTCAAAAGTTTATTTCAATTAGGTTACCACTGTAGCTCACTGTGCAAAGTCACATATGCTACTATATGTTTGCTACTCCCATAGTTAATGCTGAATTCTATAAAAAAATTTGTTTGCTTTTTTTTTGTGTTCAGTTTAGATGTAGAAAGTGACTCAAGTAAATAACTTTTCTGCACATAGGAACATATTAACTAATTGGTCTTTAATCACAACAGCAATGTTTTCTATTGGCAAGTTATATAAAGAACTAGGCTTCTCTGTCTCAGCATCTGAATGAATTAAACTCACGTGAGTGAGGTGTTTGCATTACTTTATTTTGGTATTTTCAGGCCAGATTTTCCCCTATCCAGTGGCATTGTTTTTGTTGTTCTTATTTCACTCTAGATTAGAGATCTAAGCATATTATTTCAGGTAGTGAGATTTTTTCTGAGAAGATTTTGTAAGATTGCAATTTTATTAATATTTAGATTTGGTAAAGCTCAAAGATTCTATTAAGCAGTTATCAGTTTTACTAACGAATTATTTTATTTTAATATTGTTGGGTTTTCTTTTTGTAGTTTAACTTTCTTTTGCTTTTAGCTTACATTTGGGGGCCCTGGAATCGCACTGAACTGGTGAGAAATAATCAATACAGGTTTCTTTTCACATTCTTTCTCTTAACCATTCCAACACTTCTAGTTTTTATTATGTTTCTACTGTGATTGGGTGTTGTTATTAGATATTTTGTGTAGTGACAATCAAAGATTACAACACACAATGAAACATGTTATATTTGTATTACTAATCACACAAGAGAATGACTAATGAAAGTCATACAGAAACTAACTAAGCTACATATTCAGACATATTAAAAGTTTGCAAAGAAAAATAGAGAGAGGAATAAGATATATTATTGTAAATGAAATTAGAAGAAAATTATTATGAAAAGAAGATACAAATACACTAGACAATAGTACTGTAGACTATGTTAACAGTAGAACAAAGACATTTAGAATTCTATTAATCGATAAGGACAACAACTTATTAGCAGTTTGAATATTGTTATAAGGCTCAAAAACTTCACGAGTTGACAAACACCATGAGAGTGCCTTGACAGTCCTTGTGTCTTCTTGCTTGATCCAATCTACTTTCCATAGTTCTTAAGCAAAAAAAAAAAAACCCTTTATTTCAACATAATTCATCACTGAAGAAAATCAAATGTTTGTAAAATGTAAACAGGTTCAATATTTTTTATTAGATTTTGGATGTTTTTCTTGCTCCAAGGCATTTCTGAATATTTCATATGATTCAGTTCACTGTTTCCTAACAATTTTCATAACCTACTTCATTAAATACTTATGCCCCACAATCTGTTGTTGTTAACAAACCAATTTACACAAGATAAGATGACTCACTAAAAATATCATAGGCAGATAATAATCTAGCTTAGTATTCAAAATTCAGTGTATACTGTTTTCAAGGGTGGATACTGAACAACTTTTAAACACAAAATGTTTGGATATTTCAGAAAAAAAATGTTTTTTGGTTTTATACTTCCACAAAAAACAACAACTGATATTCCTGTTTTTCCTAACTTTTCACAAGCAGCTGACCAAAGTGATCTTGAGAACCATCCAGACGACCAAGACATTAATTTCACTACTCTTTTCAAAATATTCAGGTGAGAAACACCTTAAAATTCATTAGATTATACCAGAATTTACCACAGATTGTATTATACAACATTTTTTGAGATTACCGCAGACTTCTGATAAAAGTTACATCAAGAAACAACTTTAAAATGTTTCATGGAAATGCACAACCAATATATTACTGAATCTTATACACCCTAACTAACAGTCACACATGGCTTGGCAAACTTTTACAATAGGTTAGGAAATCTCATGCACTGTATTATCCCACAGCTCAAAATATCAAGAAAAGAAATGAACCTGTACAAAGCTACATAAAATAGTCATGTCTAATTTGACTACAAACACACCTACAACTGAAGGCCCTTTCAATTCTTATTTTGGAAGTAAACATCAATTTGTACCACTTGCATCTTGAACTCTGGTTTATTATTTACTGTCTGTGTGTTTACTTATCAATGCATCTACTTCAGTGTTCTGTATGTGTTTATATTCTAGTCTTATTTAATGCATTACATACATATACATTATGGTTCACTTTATCAAATGTTCATAAAAGTAATAATTCTATTATTTAAACTTCTAGAAAGACAACTTGTGCAAAAATTAAATTACCATGTAATGTTTTTTAGTGCAGCAAAGGATTTAAATATAAGTATTATGTTGACAAGAAATTCTGTAAGGTAATTTAGTTTTATAATTTTATTATTGTTCTGATTTTGTTGTTAATAAAGGTATAAAAATCTTATAGAAATGTCTTAAATGTTTAGCAAACCTTATATTTAAAATTGTGTTCTTTGGTAACATTTAAAAAGAATGTGCTCTGGAAAAAAAGTATCATTTATCACACATATCTCAAAGGATAAAAATATGTTTTATTGAATTACTGCACATGTACACTTTTTAAAGCTCATACCTTACTTTTGCTAGAGGAATGTTCCACATGTTTGAAAGAAGGTTAGATTGCTACACAATTTCTATATATCACAAAACGTATACAAAAATAATATTCAACTCAGAAAAATTTAAATTAAGCCTTCCAACATCAAAAAGTAGTAGCAAAAACATTTTTCAATAAATATGCCAGGACATGAAAGTCATGAACCCTCATAGTGATGTGGCTGTAATTAAAAGCAACTTAGTAGCTTATTACTCTCTTGAACAATATATTGTGTCTATATGTAATTACTGTCTTCATATCATATGCCATTTCCAAAAATTTCTAGAATAATGAAAATTTGGTGTTCATTCTTTTAAAGAACTTGAAAAGGATAAGGATGAAGCTGACATTTAAGAGTTATGTATTTTTACCCAATAAAAGTGAGTAAAAGAAAGTGAAGTAGGTGGAGAATATTTGTCAAGACTAATCACATGAACTAATATAATTTCTAGAATCACATACTAGGAAGTCTTTTATTTTAAGCTCTTTGTTCAAGTGTAACGTTTTGATAAACTATTGGTGTGGAATAGATTATTAAGATCTCTGTTGATGAACTTTGAAAAAGGAACATCTTTTTTTATTCACTACAGGGATTGGATTCATAATAACAACCGGGATTTTACTATAAGAAAGTTCAGGCGCAATAAAGTAGCAAATTTACAGAACATTACAGAAATTAATGATTTTCACTAATTGGCCTTCATAGAAAACTTATGTCAGTCATCAGTCATGGTTACTATAAGCTTCAGTTTGAATACTATAGATGTAGGGGTTGTTATGTCAGCCACAACCAGCTCTTGACCATCTCCCAACTCCAGCTCTGAAAAGGCATGAAGAATAATATGTTATATACTTTGTAATATCAGACTCCAGTAAAAATATCCACATGTTAACTCTTTCAGGATGGGCTCAGTCCCTGGAACCGACCTTGTAACCATTTTGTGCTTGTTATAGCTTTCATGCTATTACTTTTAAATTAGTAAGCAATTGTTAATGGAATTTGGCAGATTATCAGTACACATTACAATGCTTTCATATGCAAAATAATTTTTTTTATTAAGTCTTAAGGTTTGTAAAGCAATGTTTTTCTCATTTTTTTTTTCACATGTTGCCTATCTAACATGCAAAGTAATATTAATTTTAAGATTTCACATGCAAAATCTTTATACTGTTCAGATAGTTATCAAACATTTCTTAAGTTAAAAACTTTATATTTTATCTGTTATTTTCAGTAACTAATCTCTGTACACCATAAAAAATTAGGAAATAAATATAAATTATACCTTTTTCATTCTACAATTAACATAAATTATATCACAAAAACATAAATGTTTAGACTAAATAGCTTAAATCTCATAACATTATACATTTATATATATTTATTATTTTTAATATATTGACCTTTCAGCCGTGCCTGGCTAACAATACAGAAGTTACAATGATGCGGCTCACATGCACTCATATTACCATATCAAATAACATAAAACTGACCTTTTGTCTGTACAAAGTAACTTGTCTTGGCTGTGTTTTAGTAGATTAGTATTTTGTAAAATACGGTCACATTTCAATTATTATACATTATATATGTATATAGATTATTGCTATTTTGAAATAAGTTCTTAAAGTTATTTTTTTAAAACATAGAACAGTAACTAAAGAAGTAAAGCAAAAAAATTATCTTTTCTAATTACGACTCTTGTACTTGGTTGCTGCTTGACGTAGGATATGAAACAAAATAATTTTTTTAGGTTTATATATATATATACATTTGAATAACTAAAAATCATAAATTATTACATCAATACCATAGAATTTCACTAGAATTTATCAAGGTTAGTAACTAAGATGTATTTTAGTAAAAAAAGAAAAAAATATATGAAATTTCGAGCATACTAAAGACACAACCTACCTCATTGAAATATTGGTTCAAAAGAAAGAAATGGTGCCAAGCCCATTAAAATGGCTGAGAAAGCCACTAGGGGGACATTCTGAGCTTCCAATTGGTTATTCATGTTATATATAGAAGTAATTGTATGTAAGGGAACTTTTCCAAAAATGGAAAGAGGTGGGCGGGGTGCCACAGTGTTTGATTTATTACATGAGCAATATCTTATCAAATTGAAAAGAGGCTCTTATTTTATATTTTAGCTTGTCAATATTGGTAATTTGAGTTTCTAATTCGTACTAAACTATAGACTTAGTATTTTGACTTCACAAACATCTAATTTGAACCAGTGCTGCATTCAACATACCAAATGAAACACAAAAATTGCTGTTTATCTGTGTATTTGTAATATTTGCTTTTAAATTAAGAAACTGAGTAATATATAGTACTAAAATTTGAATTATAATCAAAATATTGATACCAAAGTTATTGACATAACTTCATGAAATAGTAGTTCAATAAAAGTTTGAATGCGAGTCAACAAACGAGATGACATGAACTTTTCACCCATGACTGGTCTCGAAACGGTTAATTGATACATGAAATATAAAGGCTTTTTTTCAAGTAGAAAATGAAATGTATTAAATAACTCAGAGGAAGTTTTTCACACATTTCAATGTTCACAAATTCAATGGACTTCATTCCATCATTTACAGTTAAAAAAAGAAATTAAGAAATCAAAAAGGACTTACATGAAACAGCTGGTTGACAGTGATAAAACTAACAGCAAGGACTTTTTAAAAGTATATTAATGATAAGCAAAATTATAAAATACATATTGAGCCCTTAAAGTATGCTCTAACAGCAATTCTTTTTGAAAACTATTAGAAGAGATATTAGCAACATTTCTGACCCTGAGCATTCTATGGAAAATATTGGAATACATCTGAATCATGTAGATATTACTCCCTTGGTGGGAGAAGAAGAAGAAGAGAGAAGAAAAAAAAAAAGAAAAGAAATAGATAGATGAAGCACCAGGACCAGATAAGGCCTTCACCATGATATTAATATTTTCTAGATTGGAAGGGTGTCTTTGACATCCTTGATTTTTTCTTAAATTTTATAATAGTATCTAGTTTCTGCTTTAAAAACTTCATCTAATTTGATTTAGTATTTCTATCCTTTATAGAAATTCCAAAAATTCTCTTATAAACACTGTTTTGAAAGAACTTTACAAGTTGAATAATATTCATTAACATCTTCATCTTCCAATACCTTATTTTGGCAATTATAGTAATCAATACTTTCAGCTATAAGTAATAAAACCATGGCAAAAACTTCAAAACATTTATCAGTGACCTAGGGCTTCTTTCAAAATTGCATTATCATTACTTTTGTCAGACTATGTATCCTGATTTTTGCTAAAATATTTTTTTGTCTAGATCAATTTATATATAATAAATATAGTTTCAATTAATAAATAATAAGTCTTCTCTTTGTGTGTGGTGTTTGGAAAGATAAATTTAACTACAACATTCAAGGGTGGCAATGAAGAGCTGCAGTAATAAAACCACTAATAGAGAAAGAACATCACACAAGAAGCAAGACCTGAATCATTATATTCCTAAGGAATGATAGTTTATTAGCAAATATAAACCTATACTTTGGGATGGGCAGAAAATAAAACAAGTTTTTTTTTTACAGACAAGACACCTCAGAGCTGTGCAAAAATGAAAGTTGGAATATCTTTCAAAAACTCATTTTGCAAATAACTTTAAATAAACATTGGAAAATCACAAAATACCAACCTAAAATATTTTTGAGTTAAAAAAATATTGAAATAGAGTTAGAATTATTTTGTTTCGCTAAATTTTGAAATTCAATATGCATTCAACACCTAAAAGGTGCTCACCTGTCATGACAAGATTAAAGGAGATCAAAGACCAGATATGCAAGTCTCTCTCACATTTGGTAGACCAATACACAGTGGGCAGGTGTTTAAGGATTTGAGAGTTTTTAAAGTGGGGTGAAAAGAGTTACTCTTGAAATTATTGACCAGTTATTCTTATTTATGTAGTGGGAAAAATGCTAGAGAGTCCAATAACTTGGATCACACATTTAATGCAAATTAGATGGAAACTCATTCAATAGTAGGAATAAAAAATTGTCTTGGCATAGTGGTGGATAAATCACTCAAGCCACTGAAGCAGTGCTCTGTTCCTAATAGTAAAGCTAATAGAATTTTAGGATGTATTTATAAAAGTATTAATAACAAGCCAAATGAGGTAATTATATTTATAGAATTCATTAGTTAGGCCACACTTAGAATACTGTGTACAGATCTGGTCTCCTTATCTAAGGATATTGATTTATTGGAAAAGGGTTAGAGAAGAGCTTATAGTAGAAGGGTTATCTTATGGAGATAGGTTAGGATCTCTTATAAAAAATTATCTTATTAAAGTTTATGAAACTATCTATGGACTGATAGGATAAGAACCTGATTTTGTTGTACGGTATTTAGAAAATAATATGATAAGAGGACAAAAGTTTATGACCTGGAAAAAAGACAGGCTAGATAACGGACTTATAGAATGAGTTTCCATCATTAATAGTAGAAGTTGGCCCTTCAAAGAAACAGATGATTTCCTGAAAAATAAATTGTGTGTTTAAAATCTATATTTTTCTCAAAAGCGTGCAAGGATGGTCTTGAAGGACCAAATGATCTCTTGTTGTTCATATGCTATTTTAACAAAATAATATTCCAGAATTAGGATAGAGAACCGCTATGTTTAAATTAGTATCAACCAGAGCTGCATAGGTATCTCTACATGAGCCAAATTTTCTAAAGTGGATACATAAAACTAAAAGATGTGAAATGGTTTTCATAATATATTATTTAGCCTCTTTAGTTTGTGCTAGAAATATTTTCCTTATGAAATCTAGTAGTAGTATCATTACTATGATATGATAAAATTTTCAAATACTTTAGTATGAATGCAGTTGTGGATATAGGCTGATTAAGTTTAAAAAATGACAAAACAGTATCATGTATATTTAAAACTTAAAACAATTTCTACATATAAATGTTTTCATAACAATCTCACCTTGTAACGTTTTCTTCAGGTTGGGCCTTGTTCTTTCTTCAATTGAAGGAACTGTTGGCATATACAAGGTTTTGTTCTTTCCATCAATGTAAGTTGTAATTCCTGGTGACTTCATTTGACTATAACAATATTTATTATTTAGATCAAAATTTACCACTCTTACAAATTACATAAAAAAATTAATTTGTTGAAATGAATTTCTAGATATTATCTATTAATATTAAGTGACAGCAGGCAGGCATCTTATATTATATTATGATCCACATATTGAGACTATATAGAAGTCCTTATCATGTGAATTTTCCAACATAGCTTTTTCACAGCAGGCTAAGATATTTACTACAAATAGCATCATATTCCACAGTGTGATATAACTTGTATGTATTCAACAGATAAATTAACCTTATAAAATATATTAGTTTGATTCTGATACATTTTTGTTTTAACTGGATAACTACTGATAAGGGCTGAGTCACTTTGACTGATCTTGCAACTACCAGGTAACCATAAAAGTATCAATACTATAACTTTTAATGTTGTATGTGTATTTCATGAATATTAGCAAGTTTTTATAAACATTACAAGTCTTTTGTATACAAAAAAAAATCAGATTTTTAAATTATTTTTAATAAAGATTTGTCTGATTATACAGAGTGAGAGTGTGACTCAAACTCTGACTATTCCACATGCAAGATGATTTTCATTTTATAATTATAAATACTTTTTCATTTTAGTTTTCAAATATTATTTGCATAATATCTAAAATCCTAAGTGAATATCAAAAGTTTTTCAGTAAAACTTTATATTTTATCTGTTATTTTCTATACTCTAGCACAACATGGACTTCATCAATTTGACCATCTTTGTAACCACCACAAAATAAACCTAAATAACCCTTTTTCCTTTCTAGAATGATTGTAGATTGTAACAGAAAATAAAATTATCTAATCTAACAGCTTAAGGCTTATAACAGTTTGTAATTTGTTATTACTTAATTTTATTGTTTTCTTGCTCTTTCAACCATGTCTAATTAATAATCCTGAGCTACAATCTGTAAATTAAAAGGTCAATGCTTAGCTCAAGTTAAAGTATTGTGGAGAATTTTTTAAATTATTTTTTCATTATTTAACCTAATAAGTTTCAACTTTTAACATTTTAATTACTTTCAGAACATTCAATAAAGAATATTCATTAAAAGAAGAAATTCAGTACTTACATTTGGCCTTGTTTTTTGCTGTCAGCCCACCATTGAAATTTAGGGTTACTTTTTGTAATGATGGTACTAATACATGAAGTAATTTTTCCTTATTTCAAATACACACTTACAAACATAAAATTATAACATACACAAAAATAAACAATGTCTTATAACCACTATAATTTATCTGGCTTTCTAACTAAAATATAAGTGCCGTAGAGTAATTCCCCTAGCTGCTCGATCTAAACTCGGTAATAGTAACTTTCAATTTGTAGGTGAAACAACTACGAGACACTACTGAGAACAAGATAGCATAATATGTCATTTAGTAAATTAAGAAAATTAAGACTTTTTCTTTCTATTGGTTATAAATAATGTAATAGCAAACTTCAGAGAGAATTATTGGCAATTTGTGAAAGAGAGCATGTGATAGGAGAATGTGGCAAGTCTGACTTTCTAGTTTATATTTCTGTAAAAAAAGAAGATTGAGGGTATAAAAATTAGACTTTGCCTTAGAAATATCTATGCTATAGTAAGTAATTTACATTAAACTCAGGACATCACAGAGGGGTGATGAAAAAACAGAAAATAGGCCAGCTGGAGCAAACAAATGTCATGTTACACAAACAAGGGAAGATTGAGAATATATTTGAGCATTTATTTTTAAAATTAAGAAATTAAAACATATATTACAATTTGATTTAGTAACTACATTTTAATTCCAAGTTTATTTGTATAATTTGATAATAAAGTAGTTTAATTAAATTTAGAATGTAACTCTGTAAGAAGTTATGATTTGTACACTTTGACCTACTTGTATCAAGAGAGTTAATATCTCATGATAAGGTTATAGTAGAAATGATGACATCCAGAAGTATGTTGATTAGCAGGATAACAGGAACACTATAAGTTCTAACAGGGAAACTTTTAACAAATTCCATTTCATTTATCAGCTACTTTACATGCAAGGTTAATCACATCCATATTAAACTATTAATTTTTTGTTCATAGAATAATAATCCAGTCAAGATTGGCTATCCTTTACAGTTTGCTAAGGACTTCGCGCAAAGCTACATAAGGGCTATCTGCACTAGCCGTCTCTAATTTAGCAGCGTAAGACTAGAGGGAAGGCAGCTAGTCATCACCACCCACCGCCAAATTTTTGGGATACTCTTTTTACCAATGAACAGTGGGATTGACCATCACATTATAACGTCTCCATGGCTGAAAATGCGAGCATGTTTGGTGTGATGGGCATTCAAACCCGTGACCCTCAGATTGTGAGTCGAGCGCCCTAACCACCTGGCCATGCCGGGCCCCTTTGTGAACATAAGTATAAACTGCAGAGTTATTCTGGAGATACACTATTGTCATGGGTTATATACATGTATTTTATAGAACACTGTCACACTTACTATTCTGGGGCTTGAGTTAGGTAGTCAATAACATCTTGTAGTTTAGCCTTATTTGAAAACTCCATGGACTGCACAGTCTGACCACAGCTGAGGCAGTTCTCCTGAAAGAGAAGGAATAAAATGCTAAAAATGTGGTACATATCTTGTTCCACAAAAATCATTTATACAAAATATTTTCTGGAAAACTATATTCAACTAAGTAGAATTCAAAATAAGATAATGGTTCATCTTAATTGGGGTAAAATTACAAATGTTTTAAAAAATAAAAATTGAAGCCAGATACCTTTTTCTCAGCTTCAAAAGTGTATGTGTAAAGCCCATCTGTGTCATTAAATACCATATAATTGTTCAGGGGATTGCAGCAACTGAAATGAAAAACAAAAAAATTGTTTTAGTCAACAACTTAATCATACATATCTATCAGACTACAATGTTTAATTTACTTTATCATATGCAATTGTTTCTACAACATATGTGTATAGACTTCCTATTGAAGACAAACTTTTAAAAATTTACATTTACACTGAAGTCAAGATGTTATACGACTACAACTTCTAGGCTGATGTAGCAATGGCACTATACTGTTAGTCCATAAATCACACCACATCAACATTTACTTGATGTTAGTCTACCAGTTGTATATCATAACATCTAAATGATCACCATGTGCTAGTCCATGTGCAGTATGTCACAAAACCTTCATGTTCTGGTACTGGGTTCATCAGGTTTGGATCATAACAATTGCTCCACCAGTTGTATATCATAACACTTAAATGATCATTTGGTGCTAGTCCATGTGCAGTATGTCACAAAACCTTCATGTTCTGGTACTGGGTTCATCAGGTTTGGATCATAACAATTGCTCCACCAGTTGTATATCATAACACCTAAATGATCACCAGGTGCTAGTCCATGTGCAGTATGTCACAAAACCTTCATTTTCTGGTACTGGGTTCATCAGGTTTGGTTCATAACAATTGCTCCACCAGTTGTATATCATAACACCTAAATGATCACCAGGTGCTAGTCCACATGCAGTATGTCATAAAACCTTCATGTTCTGCTACTGGGTTCAGTAGGTGTGGATCATAACACCTGCTGATATTCCACCAGTTGTATATCATAACACCTAAATATTTAGTTGTATGTTACAGCACAAACTTGATCACCTAATGATATTCTAACTATCATAAATCACAGCATAAGCATTCACCTACCATTAGTTCAGAAGTTGTGCACTACATTGGTTAAAATAAGTATTTCTTTTTACCAAATGGCACTCTTTAACACAAGTTGATTCAGTCAGACTGTAGATCTAACTGCTTTAGCCTTCAGGATATTGATGTTATGTTTGTTGCAGCTGAGTTTGCATTACACAATAGTCTTATTGTCCTAGCAGTTGTGCCAAAAGGCGCCAACCTCTCATGTGAAGGTCGACTGCCTCATCACAGAAGGTAAAAGAAAGTTCATTTACTGATGGTACCAGTGGCCTTCTGACTGTATACTAACCTACTGATTCCCCATATTGTACTTTTCTTAGCTAAACTATACAGTATTTTGTTTACAATTTTTTACAATGGAGAGTTTTTCACCTTACTTGTGAAGAGGAGGCTGATATCCTGCCAGTAGATTTGTGCTAGACTTGATACAGGGAGGCTGATATCCTGCCAGTAGATTTGTGCTAGATTTGATACAGGGGCTCCATGGGTTGAGACTAGCAATATACTGTCAATAACAATATCTGATTGACTGTACTCAGTGAATGAATTGTGCTATTTCTAAAAATATATAAACCATTTTTCAGTTTTTTTGTTCATTTGGTTGAGGATCAAGTCAAGTATAAAATCTTGTTCCTTTAGTATTAGAATATAAGGTCCTTTATCAGATGTATTTTGGTGCCCATTTTTCTTAAAAAAAAAAGGATTAAAAGCTTTTTCTATAGACTGTCTTCTTTAACACCATTAAATGATGGGATGATGTTCCACATCTGTACATCATATTCAGATCATTGCAGTTTAAAAACAGTAGGAGGGATGTGACAGGACCTTGTACAACAATTTGCCCTAAGTTGAACTCGAAATGATTTAACCAAGGTACATCATAAATGTTATTTTTTTCCTACTCACAGTGGAAATACTTAAGCAAACTGCATGAAGCATAATGAAGCAAACATTATAAATTATATCTAATTTTTACTTAGAAAATTCACATAAACTAATATAGTTTTCTGTAAATTTTTAGGTTTTTACTATTTTAGAATGAATTTCAAACAGGTACTTACCTCTGAAATACTACAAACCTTTTCTTGTTGAGTTGCTTTCATGTTTTCAACAACATCATGAATTTAAGTTCTGAATGTCCTTGACACAATGCAACTTATCAGGATTTTCCATTTTCTCACCTTCCACATAAGCTCATAAGCCCTGCTTTCCTGCCATAAGCAATATTTCTTTGTTTGCATTCATGATGATATATTTCTCCAACTTATAGGTAATGCATAAGAACATATTTTGGAGGTAAATGCCTACTTGAAATTCCTGCCATAAGCAAGATTTCTTTGTGCAGTCATGATATATTTCTCCCAGTTGTAGGTAAATGTATAAGAACATATTCTGAAGGTAAGTACTTGCTTGAAATTCATTGTAATTCTAAAACAATAAAATTCAAATCAGGAAGACTTGACTCTGAAACACTAAAAGCCAGTATATCTACAACAAAAAAAGGAGAGAACAGGAGAGTGTCATGAGGATCACTGGTTCCCCAAAAGAAAGGCTCTCAGACAAGAAGGTAATAAAATAGACCAAGATAAATGAATTACATGGTCAAGAACAGTTTGAGTAGAATCTAGAATGAAAGCAAAGGTCACTAAACTGGATTAATGAAAGTATCATGTGGAGGGGACTAGTCTCAAGGAGACTGGACCAAGTGAGGACACTCAAAATGGCATTCTTCAAATTAGGGTACCTCCTTACCCTTGATACCCATTAATAAAATACAAATATAAATATGGGCCAGACAATGATAATAAAGCCTGTGAAGCCATGCGTATTCTCAGGTGTGGTCATAGGTGGTAGCACAGGTAAGCAGGGTTGTCTTGTACTTGTAGTGGAAGATTGTCAAAGGAGGGAACCACTAATAACTAAAGACTCAACATTTTTCTGTGGTTAAAGCTCCCTTCATTCTACTTTGAAAATGATGGCCAAGTTATGGAACTGACCTAGCTATTGGGTACTTACGAAGAATGTAGGCAGGCCCACAGATGGACTCAACAACTCTAGGAAAGTGCAATGAGAACATCAATTAAGATTAAGAGAAAAATAAAGATAAAAGGTGATCCCCATACTTATTGGCACTATGAGACATCATATAGAAAATGGGTGTTTCATTCCTGATGACATGAATGCTATGCATGGATGTGCAAGTGAAGATAGGGAAGGTACCTGCCAAGGCGTCATCAGTCACCAGGTGCCATCCTCTGTCCACATCCAGAGGCCATTGAGCTCCAACTAGAGAGTGGAATTTTTTCTAGAGCACATCAGAGGTATATGTGACATGTGATAGTTTGTATTAAACATGTTCAGAAACAGAGCCTCAAAGAATAAAGTGAGACCATGAATTTTGAATTTTTTTACATAATCAAATAATTTCTCAACCTCAGACATAGAGTGTCAAAGCCAAACCAAAAGGTAGGGCCATAAACTGATAAATCACTCACGCAAAAAATGAATATTTTTTATTTTTTGTTTTAAAATCAAATAATTTCTTAACCTCAGACACATTTGGAATTGTGATAAGGGGGTTCTTGGGTAGTACAGAAATACCAAGGTTTCCATACATAGTATAGGAGTGGGGCCACATGATAAATGAACAAGTAATAGAGAAGAACTCATCTGCTAGTGATTACATCTAGCCAACAAAACCCTAAAGCTGAAGAGACAGAAGTATGACATAAGTAAAATTACAAGAACATATGGATTCATCCACATGTTGGCCTAATAGATATCCCCTAATGGTTACTGGGACTTGGATGCCAATCACATTGGCAAATGGTAAATTTAGTGAGATGTAACCCAATATTTACTTTTAAGGCATTTGGAAACATCACAGTAAAGAAGATGGATAAAGTGCAAGCCAACATGACAATGTAGCCACAGCAAGATCCGAGTAGCATGATTCATCATACAGTATAAACATCCTTTACTGTGACTTTCTGAAAAATTTGGTACATATTTGATAAAAATAAATAGTCCTGACTGGATGTATAAAACAATTCTTCAGAATGAGAGTCAAGTTCAGACAATGTAGGTAACACAACAGGTGAAAGATAATGTTACCTTCTCTCACAGTCAAGTTTAGGTAGGAAGGTGCAAGCAGTGTACAAACATAAGAACTGGGAATATAAGGTACTTAAGCATCAGGGACAAAGATATATCAGACTATATTCTGCCAAATGTAAATGGTAAAATAATATACATTTTACGTGAACAAGTTGCCAATAGATGAAAAGAACATGGAGATTTTGAAGACAAAAGGCCAGAGGTCTTTAAACAATGGAGAAGAACAGATTAGTGGCTTCCATGCTATCTGAAAGTGGCGGATAAGGCACCTTGGTCACCAGCTATGGGAGAATCTAATAAGCCATAATCATGAAACAAAAACATGATGAAAGAAGCAATTTGTTGAAGAATTGGAAATATTATGTCTAATGTATAAACTCTGGGAGGTAACACAATGTATTTTATATTTTGACAGGGAAGAGCACTGGAAAGAGTAGGCAAATATTCAAGTCATTAAAAAAAAAAAGAATTCAGCTTCTAGTACAAAGAATCTAACAGCAGCCAGCCATGAAATTGTAGATGTAAAGTGTCAGTGTGAAAAATATATGTTAAAAGTTATCAAAGATATTACCAATGTGGTAACAGGACCAGTTCTCCTTGAGAAAGTTGACAGAATAGGGGAAAGCTTGGCTGAGTTGGCCAAAGTGAAGTGATGAGAAGGGCCCAGCGCTTTGTGTAACTGATGTTGGTGAACACTCAATGAAGGGAGTGGAGGGTAGGTAAAATGAAAAAAACAGTTCTCCCAAGATTGACCATCCACAGCCAAATAAATTGGATCTGTAACTAAAAACCAGTAGAGAAAAGAAGATGTCTGTCCAACGTTACAGTGGCATTAACCACACAACAACTCAGACATATGCAAAGCCATTAAAACAACAAACAGTGGAAAGTTCATTCCATGGGGAGCTGACGATGATTTTGAGAAAGGGAGTCTACCAAAATGATCATCATGCTGGGAACATGAGAAGCATAAAGGTGAAAATGTTGAGAATGAAACAAAAAAACAGAGAAACTGCAGAAAAACAAAGGGTGTGAGAATGTGTACCAAACCAACTGTTGATGTAAGCTACCACTATAAGACAGTCTTTGTAAAAACACAGAATGATGGTGTAGAACTCAAGACAAGTATGCTAAATGGCCCTGAGTCCTAACACATTAATGTGAGCTATTACTTCCAGAGGTCCAACTAATAATTATGCTTATTCCCCAACACTGTGCCTCAATTAAAACAAATGCATCTGTGAAAAAAATGAAGGTTTGTAGGAACAGGAAGATCCAGCCATCTTAAAACTCTCAATTCAACTCACTCAATAGAGAAACTCAAGAGTGATGTGAGAGGTAGTTATACTGCATGACAACAGGTCTAAAGTTACATGCCACTGAAAAACAAGGTTCTATTGGAGATGTTGCTTGTGAACTCATCCCAAAGGAATGACAACAAGAGGTGAAGCCATTTTTCTCAAAGCACAAAGGGTGTCTTTGGCAGTAGGTGCATGAAACTACAATGCTTACAATGCTATATGAGATGCTGAAAAGTTCCTTGAACTTTGTTGATTCAAAATACCAGACATACCAAATACTTGGTTGGTCTACATGGGAATTAGAGTTATGGATGATCTAGTCAAGAGGTGTAGCTTAATGGATGGTCAAATGAATAAACAAATATAAGAGACTAAATGGACGAAACAGTCAAAATAAGTCATTCCATGTCAAGTGAATGAAGACCAGCAAAGGTAGACTTCTTGACAAAATATTATGGAGTCAAAGAGAAAGGCAGTCAACTTATGGTGGCAAAAGATGATGATGATGGATGAATATGCATATGAAGAAAGGCATCCAGTATATCCACCATAATCATCCAAAGGCCACGACAAGGATACTTCTGTAACAACCTCATGTTTTCCATTTCAAAATGAGGTGTCTTCAGGAAAAGATAAGTTGAGACACTTCTGTAAGAGGTCTTAAATCTCCCTGATTTCTTCAGAATCACAAAGTGGTGGGAGTAAAAAGCTGGAGAAGTGTGATGAACAATTTTGACTTCTTTTTCCTTATCCAGAATGCCTAAGTGACTGGATTAAAAGGAAGAGGAAAGACATTAAAACCAGACTGAAGGATCTGTTAAAACCAAGGAACTAAATGAATCATTAATCTGAGACAACTTCCTCAATAGTCCAGAGGGAAGATGATTGAATAGACATAGCTAAAATTTACTTTTTAGTAGATGAAGTAAGCAAGACAAGAGGATGGAAATTATATGCTTGTTGTCTGAAAAGAATTACTATGAGAAGCAAGTTGAAATGGTAAACGGGTGAAAATTCTAAACACTGCAAAGACAAACAATGTAGGTAAGAAATTCTTTGAAGGTCAGATGAAAATCTGGGGAAGGGGGAGACAAAGCATGATGAACTAAGGCGTCAAAGGAACATAATAACAGCCACATGGTAATAGACACAACATATATACAGAACTGCAACAAACAGCAAAGGAAGATTGCAAGGTAAACATTTGATCCAGACTAAAATAATCATGAGAATGAGAGTAGCATTTATTTTATAATAACTTTGAAAAAGACATGGAAATACCATCCTCCAAAACTGAGGGTCAAAAGTTTGAGGAGTAAGATTAGTAAAGGAAGATAATCCTGTTATAGGCTATTCATAGAAAGTGAAGGGAACAGTACAACCATCAACAAAAAATCTGGTTTATGGTGGGAAAACAGGGTTTAGACATGTGCAATGAGTCTCATGGAAGGTGGAAGAGTGGAGAATTCTGGGTAAGTTAATGTATGTTTTACATTGCATCAAGGACATTCAGAATTTGAAGTATATTTGTTTTGAATTTCATGCAAAGTTTACTCAAGGTGGATTAGAATCCATTCTATCTAACTGTTTTAAGCCATCGACTTTAGCTGTTTTCAAAGCTAAACTTCAATACTAATTATGGCTGGAAATGGCTTGAATGGGTAATGAAGAAAAACTTTAATATAAGTTTAACATAACAGCAAAT